TATTTGCTTCTGTATATAATTCCATTGAATCATGAAAACATCATATCGATAGTGGTCATTCCAGTTAACATACATGCATAGAGATAAGTTCATCTATCGACTGTTATCACATATTAATAACAACTCGCATACTATGTATAAAAAGTTGTGGTGAGACTATAATTTATGGATGAACCAATCATATTTAAGATAACAGGTCTTAGATTTTAGCACGAAATTCATTCAACCATTTGGCTAAATAGAGTCTTGGAATTATAGCTTATTGTCAGTTGGTGATCAATAGCCTAAATTCAATTCCTAACCTTAACTCCATCAACTATAAATCAAAATCCTTATTCTTCAGACTGCTTTATAACTATCATTTACTCCTAGTTATTAGGTGAACACTCTCAAGATCAGTCTAGCTTCGCTCAACGATCGTTTATAAATGATAATCTCACTAAAGTTGTTTCTCTGACATTTATTTAACTGATCATTTGTTTATTGGTAAAACTTAAAGTATCATGTTAAACAGACAATGATTACGTCACTCTATTGTTTATCAAAATAACCACAATTCATTATATAAGCAATGATGGATAGTGGCTAGCAGTGAAAACCAGGACGCGCGTTTCATCCTATTTTGGACTTGTCAGCTGGATGTACCTGCTCCTCAGAGTTGATGTTCACTCTGGGACTCGAACCCAGTACCATTCGCTTGTATCTTCCCATTGAGATTTAAGACTGCAGTTGATCAGTCTGTTATTAGTATTCATCATATTAAAAAGGTCAATGAGAAAATATGTGTAATATGTGTAATGTTACTTTATAAATCAGATTAAAATTATTTCTAATTAAGTAATTATTAATAAGATCGAATCTTGACAATTCTATCCTAAGTATAAGCCCAAAACTCTAAAAGACTTAGAAAATCACTTTGAGATCATAGACCCGATTATTACTTTATTACTTATTTACTTTCACCTGTTAACCCTTGTGGAGGAGTATAGGCCGCCGATCAGCATTCTTCATCCAACCCTATCCTCGGCAATCCTTTCTAGATCTTTTAAGTTGTCATTCATCCTTTTCATATCTACTTCCAATTCCCGACGTAATGTGTTCTTTGGCCTTTTTCTTTTCCACTTTTATTTAGGATTCCAAGTTAGCACTTGCCTCACGATGCAGTTTGGTAATTTCCGTAATATATGTACTATCCACTTCCAAATTCTTTTGATAATTTCATCTTCAGATAAAAGCTTGTTTGTTCTCTCCTACAAGAGACTGTTTTTGATGGTATCTAGACAATGGATGTTGAATATCTTACATAGAGGATTGTTTTTAAATACTTGCATTTTTTGATGATAGTTGTAGTAGTTCTTCACATTTCAGCTCCATACAGTAGGATTGTGTGTCACGTTCATATTGAAGATTATAACTTGGATATTGGTTGACAGTGATTTTGAGTTGCATATGTTCTTCAATTGTAAGAGTGCGGCATTCTGCCTGTAGCTCTTCTAGAGTCCTAAGCCCGGGTAAAAGAGGAGGGTTGGGCATGAGGTTGACAACCCTATCCCGTAGAAAAAATCTTGTTAAACAAAATGCCAATTAGACCATATAATTAGCTAGGCAAAATCCAGGATATTTAAACGAATCATATTTTATGGAAAATCAAATAAATTTAATAGGCTTATAGGAGATTTTCTTCAAATAACTATTATTTAAGTTACAATATACATCTAGACAATGTATGTTTCCCTGTTAAATTCCCTGTTTGTTTGACTGATAGATGTTTGTTAATTATAAAAGATTTTAACAACCAAATATAGATAGATTTCATTTCGTTTCTGAATAGGTCCAAGAGAGTTATGATCGTAGGTCTTTATCTTGAATCTGGTTGACTCAACAGTTAACTATCAATTCATTGAATCTATTCATGTAAATTCAATATAACTTTTTGTGCTTTTACTATGATATCTTCTGGTGTTTCATAATTGTTCTTATTAGAAATGCTTCAAATGAACTGAAAAGTGATTTCTAATCGACTGAAAATATCAAATTATTTCGTCTTATGAGCTCAGAATTCAATAAACTAAGTAATCGAATGCAGTTGTTATAAAGTGCCAACAAATAATTGATATCAGAACGGGTTCTGTGGATAACACAGTAATTTCAATAGTTGAATTCATGAGTCAATTGAAGTTAGACTACCATGGAAAACTTGTAAGCACTGGACTACCGTTTCGTCCTACTGTGGGACTCCTTAGTAGTGACTGACAGGTCCTGGGTTTGAATCTCGCGAAGCGGTATCGTAGACGCGTACTGCTGAGGAGTCCCATACTAGGATGAAATAGCAGTCCCGTGCTTCCAAATTTCTCACGGTGATCTAGCTTCAACTGACTAATGATGTGAATTATTAAAAATAACGGATTGAAACAAAATCTACCAGCTCTCAAACGAGTAATCTGAGCACCAGACCATACATACCCTTTATTTTTCAAACCTGAAGAACTCATGTGCTGATATACATAAAATATGAGACCAAACGACACCATTAATGATAAATGTCACTTGGTATACGAGTAGGAGATTCGTAATAGAAGGCTACGTAACAAGTTTTATGTGACCTAACTATAATTTATGAGTAGTACTATAACTTAAAAAGCCTGTACATAATGTTACAGTTGCTTCACAAATACACTCAAGAAATATATAAACTGATCTCTATCAAAACAGTTTCCCTTATTGCATAACTTCATACTTTGATGCTTCTTATTACTTAGTGGCTTCAAATCATTTACTTTGGACAACTTATACTGAAACATTCTCAAATATACTTAATGAAACAGCTAGTTGATTTAGTTGTGTGAGGACGGCTCACGAGTAAACTCAAGGAAGATCTAAGAAACTCCAAAAGAACTGAAAGTATTCCATCCAATCATTTTTAGAAAGAATATTGCAGAATCTATACGTATAGCTTCCCTATGGGACAAATGCTACAACTCCCTGTATTCAGATTGTGGTGTGAGCTACTTATATTGATATACGTAGCATATAACGTGCTTTAAAAGAACGTAATTTCTAGCAGCAAAAATGACGAAGACCAAGAAAGATGGAGGGAGAACATAATGGAATTTGTAAGAAAACCAATGTTCAATGGAATGGGAGTCAATGGTTTGGTGTTGGCAACACAAACAATCCAGTTTGATTTGATGCGTGAATATTTTGAAAATTGACGATTTAATATATGGTATTCAGATATTGTTGAAATAGACTGTACTTGGTGTGCTAAACATATCCCTTTGTCCCCACCAGTGTTCCTGTTCACTACAAGATTACATGGCTATAATGACTTCATTTTCACTAAAAACTATAAATACCTGGAAGTTTTGTACCATATTTTACATTGTTTCGGAATAGCACTTCTTTTACGTGTCGTCTATCTTCATATTTGCAACTTGGAGATTTCTAGAGTTCGAGTGCTCAAGTTGTACGCAGTTTAATAAGAACTTAAGCACTGGATATAACAGGTTGTGAGAAACGTTAATTATAGATTATTATCAGTTGGAAAATCATTTTAAGACAGGGATTCTTGGATAGCTTAATCATTTTAGTTCACAAATCATTAGCAATATGAACTAATGATCTTATATCTGATAGAGTCGAAGATCTTTTACTCTAATGTAGTAAACAGGATCTCATGTAGTATTTTTTTCTATTATTTTTTTTAATTTAAACACGTAAATATAGATACAAGAAGGCTCGAAATAAATCATTCGATTTCTGTGAGGGATATGATGCTGGCCGGGTGCCCAAAACGAAGAAGGTGATTTGCTTAGGAGGCCACACCCGAAGCCATCGACCTAGAAGTCTAATCTACAAGGTAGTGGGGGAACGTCGGGAGATGCAGTCCCGTGGTTGCCGGTCACCAATAATTGGTTCATACGCTATTTATTCTTTGATAATTCTATAATCCATGTGTACCATTTGTGTGGAATCAGAGTTTTCCAACTCCCCTAGATGGGGACGGATATTCGTTTTTCGTCCTCTCAATTTAGTAAATAACAACGTGGATGAGAGAAGGCATCGAGTAGGACTTACCTGTCAGTGGATGTATACACGTGACCATTTGTGAGCATTTCAAGATGAAGAGTTGACTCTCTCCACTCTCGGTCGTACCACAAACGTCTAACTAAAGTTTATGCTGATGATGTTGTTCAGAAGAACAATAAAAGCTCCACGACCAAATCATCCAGCTTAGAGAACAAAACTCCATTAAAATCATCCACCTGAGCTACAAATCTTCTCCACCTTAGATGAATTATATTCAATGATTGTAACCTCTATTCATATGAGAAATATAATAGACCAATCAAAACTTCATTTGTTAAATATTTTGTTCTAATCTCGAATGCCTCACATGTGACGATAGCAGATAATAATAGTTAACGTCAGTATGTAATGGTGTTACATTTAAATCAAACCATAAATTAGACAGATTTACCAGCTGATATTTAACTATACCAGTGGCTTTAATGCATTATATGAATTCCTGTAGCAGCAATATATATACAAATCATTTTGTCTCGATGATCGGCATTGATTCTTCTTTGAAGTTGCTGAGAAAAAAATCTGTATGATGTTGTGGAGATTGTTAAGTTTTTTTGATTGAGATCATGAATCGATCGATGTTAGAACACCATTGAAAACCTGGGAACCTTGAACGGCCGTTTCGTCCTAGTATGGGACTCCTCAGCAGTGCGTATCCACGATCCCCCACGGTGGATTCGAACTCACGATTTTAAATTTCGTGCGCGAATGCTCAACTTCTAGACCACTGAACCAGCTGGTATCCAATGGTAGTAACTCATAACTTTCATTGATCCATGAATCTAAAATTCATCAATTCATGATCTCAATCGAAAGAAAATCTCTCCAGTTAAATTTATGAAACATTCCTCATTTTGTTAGAAAAGAAAAGGCATACTTAAAATTCCTTCCTTATTATATTTCTTTTATTACAGTTGAAGTTACAAGATGATGAATTTTGGAATCCTCGTTTATTAATTGATAATGCTGAAGGTGAACCAATTGAAATTGTTAGTCATGAAGTAGAATTTATAGAACCAGATTTTGAAGCATATCTTGTAGAGAAACGACGAATTAAAGGTATCTTTCATGAAACATTGGAATTAAGACATTTCCCATTTGATTGTCAGGTAATTTTATGAAAAAGTTTTGTCATTCTTCTCTTCTTCTTTTTCTTCTTCTTTGTCTTCTATAACATTTTCTAATGTTAATATAATATGGATTTATTAAAGTGTTTATAACTGTATAATGTTATACAATAATAGTATTGTGCAACTGTTCCATAAGTGATAGAGTTGATTTGTAGCTCAAGTGGATGCTTTTGATGGAGTTCTATTGTCTAATCTGGATCGTTTGTCCGTGAAGCATTCATCTTCATTAAGAAAGATATCATCAGCATAAACGTCAGAAAGAAGGACTTCAATCCATTCAGTTAAGAGTACAAAACTTCATCAAAATGTTTTATAATTTGATTCCACTTAATAATTGTTTATATGTAGAGAATAATTAAATATGAATTTATATTATAAATTGTGCTCCACCAACACTCTTCATCGAATTACATCCTTGGCAGTATTTTCCAATTGGTTCCAGTTGCTATTCATTCTTTTATGTCCTTCGGTCTCCCTCTTTTAGAACTTTTTGATTTTCGCAATATGTGTTCTATCGACTTCCTACATCTTTTCCTGATTTCCACTTTAACTAGAAGTTGACTTGTTCTCTCCCATAGTAGGCTATTGCTGATGGTATTGTTCATAACTACTTATACTTTCTTAATGATGGTTGTAGTAGTTCTCCACATTTCAGCTCTATACAATAGGACTGTGATGACGTTCGTATTGAAGATTGTGACTTTGATATTGGTTGACAGACAGTTGTTTTGAGTGAATTAGTTGATATTGATCTATTCGAAATCAAGCTATTCACATCAAGCACATTGGTTATGCTCAAAATATATAGAATTATTAAACTAAATACATCTGAATACTTTCATTATAATTGTCTAAATTATTCCGATATTTTTAGTATTATAACAAGTCCTGTACCTCTATATACAAAAACTATATTGTGCTGGAAGTAGATGGTGATCAATATCATGTGGATCAGGTCCTTCTTAGTGAAAATTGAATGCTATCGACTAAGTTGCAATGTAGTCACTAGCCTAGGTGACTCGACATTGTGTGTATTGTGTTGAGAGAAGATGATAGTTCGAGGTAATCAACAGGAAACCCTGGACCTAGGTTTCGTGCTGCTTGGCACTCATCAGCATAGTGTACCTATAATCTTGAAGGGACTGATGCTCCCTGACGGATTCAATCCCATGTCAACCAACTTCACAGTCAGAGACGTTACTACAGAACTATCTGGGCCACAACTGACCTCCTGTATGACTGAGATGTATTTACAATTGATTGATCACTGAGTGATGATCAATATCATATTCATCAAGTCCTTCTTAGTGCAGATCGAATCCTATCGTTCAAGTTGCAATGTAGCCACTAGTCTAGATGACTCGAAATCTCGTGAATTATGTTGAAATAAAATGGTGTCATGTGTCAAAATAATTCATTCCAATTATCAAAATTTATCAACATTTCAGATTGTTTATCACATGTATGCACTTAGTCTTTAATCGTCCATTTACATCTATTCTATATTCCGCAACCTATGCTAACTGCAGACTGTCTTCTATAGCTTCTCTTCTAGTCTCACAATTTTTCTGAACTTGCAGTGTTTTTGGCTTTACGAGATTCCTGTCTTCGGCCATCGCTGGAAGAAACTTCCGTACGATGCTCAAATGATTACCACTTATAAACAATATTGTGAGTAGTGTCCATCACATTAGTTATGGCTAGTACTTTTTTCTTACAGAAATGCGCGTAATTTTGGATACCTATAGTTTAAAATTTCCTACCTATTCATTGTCTTAACTTAATACATTCTGAATATTTAACTACCATAATACAATTAAACTATTTAGTCCATTTAGTTAAACGCTTAATTTCGGAAGAGGGTTTTGTGGATATTATAATAATTTTATTCGTTAAAATCATGAGTCAGTTGAAACTAGACAATCATGGAAAATCTAGAAGCATTTAATGGCCGTCTCTTCCTAGCATGGGACTTCTCAGCAGTTCACATCCACGGTTTCGCCCCGTGAGATTCAAACCCAGGACCTCTCGGTCTCGCACGTGAACGTTTAACCTCTAGACCACTGAGCCGGCCGGTATCTAACGATGTTAATGTCTAGCTTCAACCAATCCACGATATTGCGCGACCGTTTCCCATTGTCATTAGTGCGTTACTGTCTCACAACAGACACTGTTTGAATGCACTGGTCACATATATTCACTAGAATTCCAGGAAACACATCTTGAGGAACTTAACAGTAGGACGAAACGGCCATACTGTGCTTACATGTTTTCCATGGTGGTGTAGCTTTATTCAACTCATGAATTCAAACCTCATTACACTCGTTTAAAAACTCTTAATTCTGTGCTAATTTTTTTCTATACTAAAAATAAGGATCTATCTGTTACAATCACATGTGATCGTACAACAGATGAAGTGGAATTAGTTGCTTCACCAACAGAAGTTAGTCAAGTTGATGTAAGATGTGCAGCTGACAGTCAAGAATGGAAAATATTTCATCATGTCGATGTAAGTTGATAATCGATTTATTTGTAGTGTCGGTCATTATATGAATCCCATATATCTTATTCTATCTTTTGGACAGGTCAATCCATTCATTCTACTTGAGTCTTATTTTGACCTTGTTAATTATTTGTTTATCAATCTTGACTGTCTTTCATATGAGCGTATGTAGGTGTACACTTCTCATCCCATTCATCACATATCTGTAGCTTATTTTTGTGTGGCCATAAATATTAATGAACGATTGATTAAATGGAGTTGGCTTACCCGCCATTACCACTGCGCGTCTTTTCACTTTGCTCTATTCCATTCGCTTTATATACAAAATATATGTATTCAAAAGTCCATTCCCGTTATTTGACTTATTTAATTCCGTTATTCATTCAACGCGATTTAAGTCGATGATTATATACGAGGATAGGCGATATATACATTTTGACAGTAATCATTCATACGATCTACTTGGATTCAGATCTCGGGCCACTAAAGTCAAGAGCCTGGCGACAAACATCGTCCGATCTAAATGACAACAAAATATCTTGCTTACGCTTGTTACTCCTCGTGAAGGAGCATAGGAAGCTCACCAGCATTCTCCACCCAACCCTGTCCCAAGCAATCCTTTCTAGCTTCTTCCAGTTCTTATTCATCTTTTTCATACCTGCTTCTATTTTCCAACGTAATGTGTTCTTTGACCTTCCTCTTTTCCACTTCCCTTCAGGATTCCAAGTCAGGGCTTGCCTCGTGATGCAGTTTGATGATTTCCGTAATCTATGTCCTATCCATTTCCATCATCTTTTCCTAATTTCTTCTTCAGCTGGAAGTTGGTTTTGTCTCTTTCACAGTAGGCTGTTGCTGATGGTATCAGGCCAATGGATGTTGAGTATCTTGCGTAGACAACCATTTATAAATACTTGTACCTTCTTGATGATGGTTGTTGTAATTCTCCAAGTTTCAGCTCCGTACAGTAGAACTGCCTTGTCGTTCGTATTGAAGGTTCTCACTTTGATATTGATTGAAATTTGTTCTGAGTTGCATATGTTCTTCGATTGTGGGAATGCGGCCCTTGCTTTGCCAATCCTACTGATGCGGTGACTGCTGCTACACTGACAAGATGAATGACCACTAAAAGTTGATAATCTATTCATTTGTTCAAATTTGAATTGTCTTCAATTGATGAATATTGTAAAAATAAAGACGATTCACAACCCGTGTGGATGCTTTCACTGATAGGAGTTCATATAAATTAAACGGTAATAATATGGTTTAGAACAATAGTTATGGTTTCTTATTTAAGCTATTTAGAATAGAGATTTGTGGAGATTTTAGTCATTTAAATTAGATGGTTATTGAAAACCTGAAACCACTAGACGGCCTTTTTGTTCTAGTAAAGGACTATTTAATTCAGCGAAACACAAAATCGATTTTTGATGAGAAATCATATTTTTAAACAAAGATGGATAGTAGCTAGTAGTGAAACCTAGGACATGCGTTTAGTTCTATCTGGGACTCATCTGTTGGGTGTACCTGAATTACGGAGTTAATGTTCACTCTGGAAGTCAAACCCAGTAGCATTCGCTTCCAATGCCGTTGTACCATCTACTTAGATACTGAGTTCTGATAGCTTATGCAATAAGGTAAAGTCTAAATTCACTTGACATTGTTTGCTTGTATTTTTCTATTGTTGATCATATCGAGACAGTCCGCACAGAATGTACATAAGCCAACAAGAGATCAATCGATTAGTAGTCTTAAACAGTTGCGTATACATGAATTACAGAGCTGATTTCCACTAAGGGACTCGAACTAAGTGCCGTTCGCTTCTAATGCCATCACATAAACAAATGACTAACTGAACTCAGTGGCAAAGTGAATAACGTGATAGCATTTGAAATGAATGGTACAAGATCTTTGTCTCCAGGTGATGGATTGCTGGGGATGTTAGATCCCCAGAACTCACTTAGTAAATACCTTATTTTTGTAATTTTTTTTTAATTTCATGTCGTATTTCACACTTGGAAGAATCTTAAACTCTAATGGTTCGTTGTATCTTTTAATATGCTAATTTGTAACGTTTCCCAGAGACAATATTATACTTTCTATATATGTCTGATTTGTGCCTTTTGTGAGAGCTCGTGCTTTTGGCTGTTTGTGCAATATATTTCCGCATTTCAAACTTGAACTTCTCTCTCTAGTTAGCGGGGCTGAGACGCATCAGAATAGCTAGCTTATCACTCTTTGTTCACAGAGTTTTTGTTCCGTTCTCAGACTAGGTAAACTCGTAGTCACTTCAAACATAGCATACACGTACATCTAGCTGACGAGTTCTAAGCAGAATAAAAGTGTTATCCTAGATTTTACTGTTAGCCATATCTATTCTGATCAACTTGTGTCATAATGGCTATATCAAGTCAACATGTAGAGGATACATATATACATCAATTAAGACCAATCAAATCGCGATCAAAAACATCAGTACCAGAACTCTATTAAATTTGATTAAATCTTCATATCTCGTTTAATCAAATAATAGGAGTCAAGACCATAATTTATGGGCGAACCAATGAGATTTAAGATAACAGATCATGGATTTTAGCGCGAAATTCATTCATTCATTCATTTGTTTAAATAATGTTTTGGCATTTTAGTTGATGTCAGTTCATGATAATTAGGTGAACATTCTCAAGATCACTTTAGTATCCCACAGTATTATATCTCTGTATACTTTGAGTTTCTGTTATATGATACGTCTTCTATCTGAACATATAGACAGCGATTATCCTTTCTACTTCTATCCAATTGCTGTTCATTTTTCTCATGTCTGTCTCCATTTTCCAGAGAAATGTCTTCTTTGGTGTTTCTCTCCTCCATTGACCTTGAGGATTTCATGTGAGGGCTTTTCATGTCACGCAGTTGGATGCTTTTCCCAATGTGTGTCATATCCACTTCCAGTGATTCTTCCTCCTCAGGGATCTTGTTTGTTCTCTCTCACAGTAGTTTGTTGCTAATAGTGTCTGTCAAATTGATCTGAAGTAATTTGTGTGGACAACTTTTAACAAACACTTGTATCTTCTGGATGAATGGTTTTGTAGTTCTTCAAGTATCCGCCTTATAAAGTACAACTGTCTTGACATTCGTATTGAAAATCCTGACTTTGGTATTGGTAAACAACTGGTTTGAATTTTAAATGTTGTTCAATTGTAGATATGTTGCTCTTGATTCGCCTATCCACACCTTCACATCTGCATCAGATCCACCGTGTTCATCAATTATGCTGCCCAAATATGTAAAGGTGTTTACATCTTCCAACTCTTCTCCGTCAAACGTGATTGGATTGGTGCATGTTGTGATGTATCGAAGAATCTTGCTTTTCTCTTTGTGTATGTTGAAACCTACTACTGAGGCCGCTACTACACTGGTCGTCTTCTCCTGCACTTATTATTGCGTGTGAGATAGAAGGGCTAGATCATCTGTGAAGTGTAGATTGTCCAACTGCATCCTAGCTGTCCACTGTAAGAAACCTTTCCTAACACCGGTCTTTACTTCGAACGAGTCTGTCAGCTGTCCACTGTATGGACGTGTCGCTCCATTACAGGACTCCTCAACAGTATGTATCCACGATCCCGCTCTCTGGATTCAGTCTCACACGCGAACGCTTAACTTTTAGACCACTAAGTCGGTCGACATCTAACAGTGTTCATGTCTAACTTCAGTCAATCGACGAAATTGCGCGATAACCTTTCATTGTACTAAGATAAATGATACCTGTCTTTAACCGACATGAATTGTATTATGTAATCTACATAAAATCAATTTAGTCTTTCATGTAATATATTGTACTTTTTCTTAAATTTCTTATTTTAGATTAAATCAATTGAAATTCAAACAGGTTATAGTCCTGGTACAAGTAAACGTCGTCATCCTGGTTTAGTATTTACAAGTCGTTCAGCACGTCGTTCTGGTTATTTTCTAGTGAATATGATATTAATTAGTTGTGTATTATGTTTATTATCATTTGCTGCATTCTCTGTACCAGCTAATGAAAATCGTTTACAATTATCATTATTATTATTATTAACTACAGTGACATTTAAATTTGCTGCATCACAAAATCTTCCAAAAATTTCATATTTAACATATTTGGTAAGTAGAATTATATTGAGAATCATTTTTAAAATAACTAAGATAGATAGAGGATTATAGATGTTGACTCAATAATCTAAAGGGTAAGCGTTCATATACAAGATTGAAGGTATTGAGTTCGAATCCCAAGAACTGGAGTTGTAGACGTACACTGCTGAGGATTCTCATAACAAGATGAAGCGGTTATCCAGTGATTTTAGATTTTCAATAGTGGTCTAGTATCAATCGATTCATGATCTTAATGAAAAGGATTGTAAATTTGTTTCATCTTGATGAGTGAAGCATTCATTTGAAGGTTTTAATTAGTTTTGTTTACAACTTTTAACTGTAGTTGCTAGTTAATGTATGATTAGGATCAAGTGACTTAAAGTTTAAAAATAACTATAATGTGACTACAATCAAATTATTACAATTATTATTATTAGAACACAAAGAGGAACTAAATATATATGCGCCACACAGGTCACTTGATTTATGTGTGAACTGTTATGCTGCCCGGGTCCCCAAATCGAAGAAGGTGGTTTACTCTTAAGGCCAATTCCGGAGACTTCGACGTTAATGTCTGATCCACAAGGTAATGTAGTGGAGGAACGTCAGGAGATGCAGTCCCATGGTTGCCGGTGACCGATAATTGGTTCATACATCATTTGTTAACTCAGGATCCTAGAGCCCATGTGCATCATTGGTTGAGAATCAGAGTTTTCCAACTCCCTTAAATGGACTCCCCGTTTTCACCAACCCGGTTAAAGCGCCAGCGTTTGTTTTTTGTCCTCTGAATATTCTAAATGCACCCCGTCCTTGAGAAGGCAGTGAGTAGGACCTCTGTGTGAGTGGCTGTATACGCACGGCTATGAGAGCATTTCGAGAGCGCTAGGCGAATCTTCCCAGCCCCGGTCGTACCGGAGCATTAGAGAGCTTACAATCGAATACTATTGTGATAATAAGGACTTTTGTAGAGATTTCTGCCCAAGTGTCACTGAGCAACAGAGAACACTAAACACTTAAGTTTAGCCGGGTCTGTTGTCACTCCGTTTCATAGATTGATTGACGTTAAACACTAACACCGTTGGATGCCGGCTAGTTCATTGGTCTAAAGGTTAATCGCTCACACACGAGATCAGGGTTCGAGTCTCACAAGGTGGGATTGTGGATTCTCATAATAGAACGAAATGGTTGTCCAACGCTTCCGGGTTTTCCATGATGGTCTAGCTTTAACTAACTCATCATTTCAACTATAAAATCTAATGTTTATTCAATTATTTTCTTGATATTTGTATAGATAAATAAATATTCAGTCCAACACTTGCTACATTCTTATACAAATAACAGACCGTCCCATTGATAATAATGATAATGTGTATTTTTGTATGTACATACGTACATATGTATGTATATATGAAGATAAATTAAATAAACAGAGATAAACTAAAAGAGATAAAACTTAATCTTTCCATTATAGAGTATTTAACTTAACTGTATAAACCATCCATTTGAAATTCATCTATTCTGTCGTGAAGTATCACTTAACAATGAGCATTACAATAGTCAGTAAATGAAATTCCCCTTTTGTAGATATTCAGAGCTTCTTCATTGTATATAGTCTACTTCAGTGAATACCTCAATATTACTTTATTTTATGAGATTTGTTTGTTGTTACATTAATCTCAATGTTGATGTTCACTTTGAGATTCATTTCCAAATGAAAACAACTCATGAATTAAAAATGTGGATCTTGATAAAGATCCATATATATTCAACACATTATATCAACTATCAATGAATGTTGACAAATCTAAATGAATAAACAGGATAAAATATGAATTCTGCAAAACATTAGAGAATGTGTACACTTTTTCGTTGATTAGTGATGAATTATAACGTTGATAAGATTTCATTTCAGTGTTCTATGCTTGCCGAATTGATTAGTTACTTGTTGATTTGTTAGGAATACAAAGACCAATAAACTAGTTGAGTATAAACCTTGTTTCATAGTTGAATTCATGAGTTTATTAAAGTTAGATTATTATAGAAAACCTGGAAGCACTGAATGAACGTTTCGTCCCAGTATGGGACTCCTCAGGTGTGAGCATCCACGATCCCGCACACGGGACTCAAACCCAGGACTTTCGGACTGGCGCGCGAACACTTGACCTTTAGACTAATGAGCTGGTCGGCATCCAACGGTATTAATGTATAACCTCAACTAATCCACGATATCGTGTGGCCGTCCATGATTGACTTCAGTGAGTTAATATCTCACTGCTGAGGAGTGCCATAGTAAGACGAAATGGTCATCCAGTGACTTCAGGATTTCCATGGCGGTTTAGCCTTAATTGACCCATGAATTCAACTATTAAAAAATAACCACAATCTTCCACAGTAGGCTGTTCCTCATGGTATACAGTCAACAGACATTGAATATCTTACGTAGAAAATTATTGATAAATACTTATACATTTTTGATGATTTTTGTGGTAGTTTTGCAAGTTTCAGTTTCATACAGTAGAACTGTCATGACATTCGTATTGAAGATTGTGACATTGATGTTGGTTGACATTTATTTTGAGTTAGATATGTTCTTCAACTGTATGAATGTTGCCCTTGATTTGACAATCCTTGCTTTCACATTTGCATCAGATTCTTCTTGTTCGTCGATGATACTATTCGGGTACGTGGAATTTTTTATCTACTCCATAGCTTCTCCATAAAGTGTGTTTGGGTTGGTGCTCTCTGTATTGTATTTGAAGATGTTACTTTATCCTTTGAGATCACTTGATTACTTTCATATACATCGAGGTATCTTGAGAGATTGCATTTAATAGAAATTGAAACTTTCGTTTTTCTATAGAGGTTTTCTAGGCATCTATCTACTAACCATCATTTATTCTGACAAAGCCGTTGTACTGTATCGGTAAAAAAAAAACACAATTAAATGTCATAGGTATTATGTAATTTACCGTGATTGATTTATTGAATCTACTTAGTGTATACTTGTATAGTGGTATAAGACTGTTTAAAGTTGTATTTACTTACGTAGTTGCTAAACACTGAAGTTTAACTTTTATACTCTTGATTTTTTCTTTTCAAGATCCATTAGCAAAGAATAAATGCTCTTTAACTGTATTATCCTGAATTTGAAAACAATAACATATTTGATAACAGAGGGGGTTTTCTTGTGGATATTATAGTAATTTCAATAGTTGAGAATATGAGTCAGTTGAAGCTGTACCATCATGGAAAACCTGGAGGAACTGGACGATCGTTTCGTCCTACTGTGAGATCGTAACTCACTGAACACAATGGTAGATGTGTAGCTCAATTTCGTGGATTAATTTAAGTTAGACATTACCACTGTTGGATGCCTACCAGCTTTGTGGTCTAGATGTTAAGCGCTCGCTCGCAAGACCGATAGGTACTGAGTTCAAATCTCGCGAGTTGGGATCGCGGATTCGTACTGCTGAGGAGTCCCACTGTAGGACGAAACAGCTGTTCAGTGTTCCCAGGTTTTCCATGGTGGTCTAGCTTCAATTGACTCATGATATCATCTATTGAGATAACATATTAATCTCTTTCTACATATTAGATTACATATTATAATATGCTACGACAGTATGCTACTCAGCAAATGCAAAGTGATTAGATTTAATTATAAAGAAATTTTATTGTCAATAGCCATCTTAAAATTGAATTCTGTTATCTACTGACAACAGACCGAAAATATTAACTTCAAAGTATGAAAGTTCTACGTTTGGTTAGCAGAAGTATCGTAAAAAAGAACTATTGAGTATATCATTGATATGACAAAGCAATGATCAACATGCTTTTCGGTCGTCCACCTCATTTCAGAAGGGGTAGAAAACCATTTTCAAAATCAAATTTAATTTCATAACTACATAGAATTGTCCATTCTAAGCAACTCATTAGTTCTTGATACACGCCTACTTACTTATTACTTTCGCCTGTTACTCAAAATGCACCATAGGCCACCGACCAGCATTCTCCAAAGCACTCTGTTCTCCACCCTTCTTTCTAGTTCTATGCAATTGTTGTTAATTATTCTCATGTCTGTCTCCATTTCTCAACATCATGTGTTCTTTGATCCTCCTCTTTTCCTTTGACCTTGAGGATTCCATGTGAGATCTTGTCTTGTGACGCAGTTAGCTACTTTCCTCAATGTGTGTCCTATCCACTTCCAGTGATTCTTCCTGATTTATTCCTTTGCTGGGATCTTGTTTATTCTGTCTCACGGTACGTCGTTGCTGATGGTATCTGGCCAACGGATCCGAAGTATTTTGCGTAATGAGAAGCGCTTTACATCAAAGATTCGTTTACGTATAGAAAATGTAGTGTATTTTTAGTATTTTAGATGGCCTTGGGTTTCCGGGAAATGCTGGAACCCTACTAAATGTAGTAGTAGTAGTAGTAGTAGTAAAGGTATTCATCTAATCAGAAACTCGACATGTGACTTTTCAGATCCTTTTTTTCGGCCAAACTTCTAATGAATGCTAATTAGATAAGATGTTTCTCAGCGTTTTCAGAGCCTATTGTTGGGTATTTCTCGATAAGTTTTCTGGATCTCCCCAACAATATCAATGTTTTTAATCATTTCATATAATAATAAAGTTAACTTTGAACATCCATATATCGGAATTTGGTATGTTAATTAAGAAAGTTTATCAAAACTATCAGAGAATCACATAATAAATGTAAGGATAATTTTCAGTAAGAATGTACAATGAATGTTACCCTGGCTAATAAATTTACAAATATATTTCACCCTACTATGAAACATTATAAGTAGTTCATAATATAAAATAAAAGATTTAGCATCTGAGGTGCAATAAAAATACTGATCTAGTGTATTTTTTTTAGTTGATCGAGATCATGAATCGATTGATGTTAGACAACCATTGTAAACTTGAAAACACCAGACGACCGTTTTGCTCTAGTATGGAACTTCTCAGCAGTGCGTATCCACGTCCTTCAAGTGGGATTCAAACCCACGACCTTGGATCTCTCGCCTGAACGCTTAACCTCTAGACCAACCACTTAGCTGGCCAGCATCCAACAGTCTCTCATACTATGATGAAACACCCATCCAGTGCTTTCAGCTTTTTAATGATGGTCAAACATCAATCGATTCATGATCACATTCAAAAACTGAACAATCTCCACAACTTCATACTGATGTATTTTTCCTAAAGAAACAAATCATCTATCCATTTCCATTTCAAATCTAAGTGATTAACATAATATTCTAATCTTGTTTAAGTTTTGTATTCTTGAATAATTTCATTGAAATATTTAAAATTCTATGATATATATATACTACTTAATTCAATGAAATAAGGATGAATAATGATTATCCATTTATTAATAATTATACATTTCCGGTATTGTTTAATATCAACAATGATTTAGTTCTTTTACAACAGCACAGTGACATTGCTGATTAAACTAAAAGGCTGATTAGATGAGACATTCAATTAAAATTATTGCTACAATGTCAAAGAGTAAACAGGCTATGAAACAATATTTTCTATGCATAACATTTACAATGAGTTCTACGTCGTCCACAAATGCCCTGTTACGGTTGATAGGGAGGAGAGTCAGCTCTCTCTCTCTCAAAATGCTCTCAGATGATCACATAAATACAATTAATACCACGGAAGTCATACTCACTGCCTTTTCGTGACGAGGATGTTGTTTACGAAATTAAGAGGATGAAATGCGAATCTTCGACTTTTTGATCGGGTTGGTGGACACGAAGGGTTCATTTAGAGGAATCGGAAAACCCTGATTCTAAACCTTGATGCATATATTGCCTCCAGGTTCTTGAGGGAACAAATGTTGCATGAACCAATTGTTGGTCACCGACTACCATGAGACTGCTTTTCTTAACGTTGTTCCATTATCTTGTTGATTAAACCTCTAAATCAAAAGCTTGAAGTGTGGTCCCTTAAGAAAGTCACATGCTTTGTTTTGGTCAACCGAGCAGTATCCCAGCCCTCACAAAACTCGAATGATTTATGTAAAGCATACTTTTTTCTTAAGATAACACATAACAAAATACGGATAAAAATTCACATTTCTGAAGTGATATATAATATTTTTAATTCAGAATGTAGATTTTAGAGGTGTTATGCTAGATGATTGGGTCATAATCCATCACTGCCTCTCTAGACAACATCATCAGATCAGAGTTCTTCCTAGGTAGTGAAAACGTCATGACTAAATTGTTCAATTCTGACAATCAAACAATTTATTTTTCAGTATTTAACAAGGTCCCATTTACACCATTTTGGTCAAAAGGTCTTCATATGCATTCTAGAATTGGTTGTACTGATTATTCACTTAATGGTATTCAATTATCTAATCCTTAGTACTGGTTGAACCCTAACGATGAACTCGCAATTCGATTACTAATCTTGCATCAATCACTTCGATACTGGAGATATCGCTTTCTTATGGGCATCGACTTAAGCGAATCCCGGCAGAGAAGCTTTCCACTGATGGTCTGTAACCACATAACGCCTAGAATAGTACATTCAAACATTAAGTCATTTAGGTTGGTGATTGCTACAAATGTTTGTCCAATGAATCCTGTTGTAAATAAGCGATCTTATTGATTTATATTCAGTGACCAGTCATTGTAAGTAATTGAATCCCCCTGGCGATGCCAAGTGCAAGTGTGATTTGGAATACAAAGAGGAAAGTCAACTTTTATTTAGGTTTCCATATACCTTGCTTAAAAAATCCACCTTCCTAGAACTCAGGTAAATAAAGTTCTTTCAGATATCACGAAGTAACTAATGTATATTCTAAATTTGCCTGACAAATTGATCACCCCTCATCACTTTTCATGAGAAAAATGACATAAGATCTGTCTATCCAATCTGTAGACTTCCCTAAAGCACTGAAAGTTGAGTATATATTGAGGTTTATATGATTCTATTTCAACGACGTTTAGAGATCTTCAAATGATTCCATGGTAATAACTTTAAATAGTGATGCCTTCCTGAAATATTTATGGATTCACTACATTTATTGTAATCCTCCTATCCATACAATATCAAAAGAAACGATCTTCTTAGCACACTGTTTTCATTTTTCATTCACTTAAGGTTCTATTATTTATGCATAAAATATTAAACTACTTGTGAGTAGCTCAACATTTTAAGCAAAAGATTTTATTTGAATTTTTTTATTTCATAGGATAAAGTGGTCCTGGTGAATTTTTTCATGCTTGTCATTCTCACTGTATGGCATGCTATAGCTCGTGCTGTATCTGCTTCAAAGCCAAAATTTTTAGAATATGAACATTATGTTATGTACAGTCTACTCAGTTGTTATTGTATTGGTTCTGTGTTATTTGGATTAACGGTTTATCTCGATGTAAGTGCATATTAATTAGCATACTTATACCATTGCTTCTGATTAATAATAATAGTAATAAAAGTAATAATAATAATAACAATAATAAGTGTACAGAATAGTTACTATTGTATAATTGAGTATATGGTTGGTAATCTATTTAGTCACTACCAGAAGAAGCGGACAATTCCGGTGGTTACCTAACATGAAAGAGACATTTCCAATGCATTCTAACTGTTCAACTGATAAACTAAGAAAAAAAATTGAATCAACACAAGGGATGTTAATTTACATCATGTCCATCAAAAACAAGTTCATAACCATTCAGTTTCAGTTTTTCAATGTGAAATCACCTACACTATTCAACATCCATCTGTTTCCAAAGTGTACTTTAAAGGTAACTGTCAATCATGTTAGGTGTGAGGAATTTGTGTATTGAGTGCAACAGAAGATGATCGTGTCATATTGTGATTTTACTGAAGTTAGACTTGGAAATAAATGAATGACAGTTCATTTCATTAAAGGTTAATCATTCGAGTACTATACTGAAAGCCCTTGGTTCGACTTCCGCTGATGAATTCGTGAACATTTATTGGTAAGGAGTCCCATTACAGGAAAAAATGGAAATCCAATGTTTACAGGTCTTGAATAGTTGTCTAGCATAGATCAATTCTTGACCTCAATAAAAGTGAAAAACTTTGCCACCCCACTGTTGGAATTATAACATTGTAAGGAATGCTTTAAAAAGAACATTCAACACATCCCCATTAAGTTCTTCATTTATCAATCAACTAATAAGAATCTTAAGGAAGAAAACTACTCATCAATTTGTCCCATCACCATGAAGATTTTATGCATCAGGGATAGGGATTAATTTCTGTTTAAGAGTTTCCGACATTCACTTAGTTGTTTAAATGTACAATTTTCATAAAGTCTATTATTTCACTATTTTTATTAGTAAACCTATCACTTTAGACAATAAATAAATTATCAATTTAATAATTAAATTCATGAATCAATTGAAGTTAGACCACCATAGAAAACTTGAATGCACTGGATAGATGTTTCATCTTAGTATGGGACTCCTCAGCAGTGCGCGTCCACGAATCCACCCCACGAGATGCGAACCCAAAACCTAGAACTCCGGACCATTCAGTGCTTTCAGGTTTTTCATGGTGGTCTAGCTTCAATTGACTCATAATCGCATTTGTCTAATAGGGAAGCACCACAGTGAGATACTGGAATGTTCCTTCAAAAAGATGATTGGACGGAATATCTTCTGAACTTCCTAAAGCTTCCTCGAGATCACTTGTGGATCATCCTCACACATAACATGTTCAATGAATTACGTAATATATGTATATATAAATAAATCATAAAAACCATTTAATCATCAATGTACTCACTTTCTATGTCGTTAAGTTATAACCAATTCATGTTACATCATAATTTCAATGGTACAAGTTGATTATATTCCTTTATATATGATCATACAGTTTTCATTTACTTATGTAATATCACTGGAAGTGGAAGAGGGAGGGGGGCGATAATAATATTTCTTTATTTCCGTTGTTATATTTCAAAGAATATTATGGTATCTGCTACTGATATCGACAGATATAAGTAGTATGTATGATCAATCGAAAGTGAAATATTTGAAGGCAGAAGGTTAATAAGATCGAGGGAAAGAAAATGATTAGTGTAGTAATGAAAGAACAATGAAATCTGAGATGGTTGATTGACATTTTGCAAATAATGTATTCACTGTAGGTTTCTCAGATTTTACCAAGCGATTCTGGATTTTTGTATTCAAGTACATCTGAATGTCACCAACTGCGTTCTCGTTCACTAAATTTGATGTTGCTGTCAACCAGGAAGTCGGAAGAGTGCTCTTTTGAGGATGCTGATGAGGGCCTAGAACTGAAATTCTAGTTAGTGTGCCGTGTACTACTTAAATCGACATAAGTAGTACACAATGCTATTCAGGAAAAGAATGACTGACAACAGAAGATCAAGAAGATCGAGGAGGAAAGAACGGGAACAAAAAGCAATTGGTATGAAAATGAAGGAACACTGAAGTCTAAGATAATTGATCGACATTTTGCAAATGAAGTATTTACCGTATGATTCTCAGATTTTACTAAGAGATTCTGTGATTTTTTGTTGATATACATTTGATTGTCCCTAATTATGTTCTCATTCACTACATTTGGTGTCACTGCCAACTTGGAGAATGGAAACGTGCTATTCTGCGCACACCTGTGAGGGCTTGGAATTGAGATGCTAATTGATGTGGTGTGTACTACTTATGTCAATACACATAGTACCCATCACGAAGAGATTCTGTACTTTTGTATTCAAACACCTTTGATTGTCTGCTCTGACGCTCTTTCTATAACTTCTTTTTCATTTCTATTTTCTTTTGTTTATGTTTTCTTATTTAGGCTGGTTCAAGAAGACGTTTAATGAAACGTAAAGATGTAGAATTTAATCAATATAAACAACAAATTGAAGCACAAAAACAACATCATTCAATATTAAGTGTATCATTAGAAGAATGGTTAAGTTCACCACATAATAGTATTACAGATAATTTATTAGATAAAAATGATCCATTAATCAATAATTATTAATAATTCTGATCCAAATAATTTAAGATCATAAATTAGAATAATAAGAAAGATTATATCATTCACTTTGTGATATATACAAATGGATATGGATATATATATATAAACAGATAAGTGATAGATCCCAATCAACAATGATCTTATTTGTTGTTTATGTTCTATTTCAAAAGGATAAATTATCCATTCTGTATATCATTGAATAGTATTCAAAGAAAATCAAGATGATATTCAGCAACTGATGATCCATCGATCATAATTGACTCGTATCAAGTATTCAAATTGATGTCTATTGTAAATATTATATACATATATATCTCTATATAGAGATAGATATCTATATAGATTATAGATATATATATATATACAATGTATACATTATATTCCCCCCCCCGTATTATTATTATTTGTCATTATCGGTGTTGTTCAAATCAATTATGTAATGTGATAATTAAATATTCCAAATGTTTGTTTTTGTTTTCCCTTTTTTTTGCATAATTTTCTTTTTTTTTTCTTTCACATATTTATTTGTAGTAGGGAAATTTAAAAGTATTTAGATCAATAAATTCAATGGATATTAGTGTTTTATATGAATGTTTCTATGGTTACTTTAGACTGGTCAGTTTTCTTGTTGGTATGGGGATTGTTTCGATATTGTCTTAATTCATATTATCAGAATGGGTTTTGTGGAGATTTTAAAAATTTCACTGGTTGAAATCATGAGTCAATTGAAGCTAGACCACGATGGTAAACCTGTAAGTACTGGACGGCCGTCTCGTTCTGTTATGGCACACCTCAGCAGTGCGCATCCACGACCCTGCACCCCGTGGGATTCGAACCCAGGACCTACTGGTTTCGCGTGCGATCACTTAACCATCAGACTACTGAGTCGGCATACAACGGTGTTAATGTCTAACTTTAACTAATCCACGATGTTGCGCCACCGTACACCATTGTCTTCAGTGAGTTCCTATCTCACAACAGATTCGGTTGAACTCCACTAATAACGGCTTTTCACTAGAACTCCAGGAGTGTCTCCTGAAGTCAGTCACTAGTGAGCAGGTGATTATTATTATCAGAATGCGTTTTGTGGAGATTTTAGAAATTTCACTGGTTGAAATCATGAGTCGAAGCAAAGATGGAGAGTGATTAGCAGTAGAATTCATGATGCGCGCCGCTTCATGTTATTGAGGAATCTTCAGCTGAATATACCTACATCACATGTTTGATGTTTAGTATGGGAATCGAATTCAGTATTACTCGCTTCCAACGTCATCGCATTATCCATTTAGTTACTGTGTCCTCATAGCCACCTGATTGTTCAATGAAATTATATTCACTTGGTGTTGTTTACTTGAAACTTCTTATTGATCAGTCGCTTATTGGTATATGTGAAGATTGCCTCGATATAGCCTTAATTTACAAGCATTATAAGCAAAAATGGATAGTGGTTAGTACTTGTTGAATCCAGGACGCGCATTTCGTCCTGAGTGGATAACATGATGATGTTTGAAGCGAACGGTACTGGGTTCGAGTCTCAGAGTGAACATCAACTCTGAGATGTAGGTACATTCAGATGATGAAACCCAAATATAGAGAAACACGTATCCTGGATTCCATTGCTAGCCACTATCCATCTTTGCTTATTTAGATAAATATTTTGTTTTAATTTATGGTTAATTAGTAAATAATACTGTTAAGTTCGTTCATTGATTAACACAGAATACGGTATACAACCACGTCATTCGAATGGATAGAACTCCCCACAGTTGCGAAGTCAGAAAAAAGCTGGAGATCAGATTGTTGTGTAAGAATCAAATATGTACAGAAAATTTTGGGTATTTTTAGATATTAGCTTTTGTTATATCAGCATTATAATTCAACCAATCCGCGAAGAAGCATATTATGCTACTGTCCAATAGTAGAATGCCACATCGACATTCTAGAAAGCTCCATCATGTTCTGATTGGATGGAAACTCCTCGAATGTTTTAGGGACTCTGAAGGCTCCAACATAATTTTCGGAAACCATCCCAAGAAATACTACAAGCATAATGCTTTGAAGTTAGTGATTTTTGCCTGTGGTATACTACGGTAATATGACAGAATTGGATCACCAAGTTTACGATACAATTTGTCTAGATTAATCGAAGGATTCATTATACATAGACCAGACCATATTAAATTAGATAACCGATTCACAATCAAAAATAGAGTACCAGAGTAACGATAGGCAATCAATTAATTCCATATAATTACAAGTACTTTACACTCAGTAATTTCAGAATGAAAATCAGTAAGTGCTAGGGTTGAAGCTATCACGAGTTTACTTAATCTGCGAACGAGAAACAAGACTCGATGACCAAAGATCAGTAAGCTAGTTATTGATGCGTCCGAGCCCCGCTAACTAGAGGGAGAAGCACAAGCTTGGAATGGGGAAGTATATTCTGCAAACAGCCAGAAATGAGCGATAACAACAAGCACAATTCAAAATGTATATATACAGTACAAAAACGTCCTTGAGAAGTTAGCAAATAGCATACTAAAAGACGCAACGGACCAATAGCATTTAAGGTATTTCCCAGTGGGAAATACGACATGAAGGTGACAAGAGCGTCTTTGGCGCAAAAACAAACAAATTCAAATTTTCTAAATAAAATTACAAAATGACGTTTTTTCCGAAGTGAGTTCTGGGGATCTAACGTCCCCAACAGTAAGGAAATCATATATTTATTAATCAATAAGCTAAGTGTCTGTTTCTCAAAACTCAGTAACCAGTCGTATTTATTTTCACTACTACAAATCAACAATCAAGTCGAAATTGTTCACTGAAGTCACAATCAACTTACGTTTACACTACTGAATCAGATTATGTTTGATGTTATTTTTCTAGTTAGAGATTCATACCTAAATTATTTAAGAATTGTGTTCAAATTATTTTTGGATATAAATTAGTTATTCTGTATGAATCTATTTCTTCTCCTGAGATCAACTGCAATTTATAAGTTCTAAATACATCTTGATTTCTACATCGTCAACAAATGCCCTAGTACGGTTGAGGATAGAGAGAGTCCACTCTCCATTTCAAAATGCTCTCACATAGCCACATGTATACAGCTACTGACAAGGAAGTCCCATTCATTGCCTTCTCATATCGAGGGTGTTGTTTACGAAATTGAGAGGACGAAAACCGAATGCCGAGGCTTTAACCGGGTTGGTGGATACAGATAATCTAGCTAGAGGAGTTTGAAAACCCCGATTCCAAACAAATGATACACATGGACTCTAGAACCCTGAAGGAACAAATGTCGTGTGAACCAATTGTTGGTCACTGACTACCATGGGACTGCATCTCCTTATGTTGCTCCAATGTCTTGTGGATTAGAAGTCTTAGTCAAAGACTTAAGGAATGGAATTTCAAGAAGACCATCAGATCCGGTCTGGGTGCCCGGGTAGTATCATAGCCCCCACACAAATCAAAACATTTGTGCGGCACATATATATTTTTGGTACCTCCTTGTATCAATGTAACTTCAAGACAGTTCTACTGTAGGGAGCTAAAACTTAGAAAACTACCACAAACACCATCAAAAAGGTACAAGTATTTATCAACAATTGTTTACGCAAGATACTGAATGTCCGTTATCCGGATAACACCAGCAACAGGATGCTGTGGGAGGAAAAATCAGCTCCCATTTGAAGAATTAAGAAAGATAATGGAGGTGGAGTAGGATATACATTACGGAAATCATCAAACTGTATCACGAGGCAAGCACCAACTTGGAATTCTGAATAGAAACCAAAAAGTGGAAGTTTAAAGAACAGATTGCTTCGAGAATTGGAAGTAGACGTCAAAAAGATGAATGGCAACTGAAGAGGATTGCTCAGGACAGAGTTGAATGCAGAACGCTAGTGGGTGATCTATGTTCCTCTACAAGCAGTAACACATGTAAGTAAGACCTAATTGAATGTGAATCAATTAAAAATTCAACTATTTGTTCATAATTTATAATTTTATATTGCGAACTGATCCTAATTAAACTAGTAGTATAAGACTTCTCGATAGTATATATCTACGAACCTATCAAATGTTATACCCATTAGAACTTTCAAGTCTCATAGAGAATGTTTTACATTCACATCACTAGATTAAAATTGAATATACATCAGTCCTATTCTACTTAAATGGCATTAGCTAATGAAAGTTCACCATCAAAATGAACTTCATTCTACAATAGAAATTAATCTATTGCTAAACTAAACTTATTTAATATATATATACTATAGTGGTTAACCCTATGTTGAGCCCATATAGGTTATTATAGTTTCTGAATAGACTCATTTATTCCTTCGTCATGAATGATTTACCTTTCCTCTTGCTTTACCTTACTTCACTTCTCCTTGTTTAGCCTTTACCATGCCTTGATTCGATTTGACTATAAATATTGAGTATTGCTTAATTAAAGACAGTAAGCTGACATTACCTACTCCATTGTGTATCATTCCGTTTTCGGGCTATTAATGAAGCACTTTAATGGCCCTCGAACGCCTGACTCCAATTGGATCATGTGTTCATCGTTATCGACTTAATTTGCGTTAGTAAATAACGGAATTAAATAATTTAAATACAAGAATGAAGTATTGAATATTGTATATTTTGTAAAATTGTTGATCAGATAGACGGAGTGAAGAAAGAGAAGAGGATAGATTGAAGCAAAACATATTAGAGAAGGCATAGTGAAGAAGTTTTGCAGCTCAAATGGATGATTTTGAAGTTTGTGATGATGATGTCGTTCAGAAGAATGATGAAAGCTCCATGACCAAACCATTCAGCTTAGAGAAAGCATGTTAACTATCTCTCTTTAATTAGGCGTTACTCAACATTTCTATTCGAATCGAATCGACGTAAGGCAAAGTTTAAACAAGGAGAAGTAAAGTAAGGCAAAACAAGGAGAGGCAAATCATTACCAAAGTCAAAATATGATTCAAGACGAAGCAATAAATTGGTCTATTCAGAAACTAGAATAACCTATATGGGCTCAATATAGGGCTAACTACTATGTTCATTTAAAATTCTGGGGAAAAACTATTGATATGAATGTATTTTATATAAATAAACAAGCAAACAATCAATCAATATCACTAATCAATAATGAGAATAACGTGTAGTGTTATGATGATAACCTCTTTGAGATGTTGGTAATGAATGTCTAAGAGGTGAAGGTGATGATGTATCATGATGCATATAATTATTATTATCACGTTGAATAATTGTATTTCGTCTATCATCAGGATTCTCAGATAATATACTAGGATCTTCTACTTCTTCATTTTCACCTAACGGTGAATAAGATTTCATATTAGATGATGATGGTGATGATGATGAATAATTTGATGGTTGTATTAGACCATGTTTGTTATATTTTGTTGTTGGATGATTTACATATAATGGTGTTTCTTGACTATGTTGTTCACTTTCAATGAATGAAAATGTTTGTGAATTAGATTCATTATGAAGTTGATTATTGAATGGAATGGATTGTTTTTCTATTCCTTTATAATGATGATATGGATTATTATTAGATATCATTCCAATACTAGGTGAAAATAAACTCATACTTTCATGTCCTGTATCCATAGGTCGTAAGTCCGAATCTAATGCAATCACCTAATAAAATAAAAACAATAAGAAACTGTTCAATCAACAAAGATTAATTTCAAATAAGATGTTGGTTGATGGTTACTTACATCTGTTACTCCTCGTGAAGGAGCATAGGCTACTCACCAGAACACTTCATCCAACCCTGTCCTGGAAAATCCTTTCCAGCTCTTTCCAGTTAATATTCATCCTTTTCACACCTGCTTCTATTTTCCAACGTAATGTGTTCTTTGGCCTTCCTCTTTTCCACTTCCCTTGAGGATTCCAAGTCAGGGCTTGCCTTGTGATGCAGTTTGATGATTTCCATAATGTATGTCCTATCCATTTTCATCATCTTTTCCTAATTTCTTCTTCAACTGGAGGCTGGTTTGTTCTCTCCCAGAGAAGGCTGTTACGGATGGTATCCGGCCAATGGATGTTGAGTATCTTGCGTAGACAACCATTTATAAATACTTGCACCTTCTTGATGATGGTTATTGTAGTTCTTCATGTATCAGCTCCGTATAGTAGAACTGCCTTGTCATTCGTATTGAAGGTTCTCACTTTGATATTGGTTGAAATTTCTTTTGAGTTCCATATGTTCTTCAACTGTAGGAATGCTGTCCTTGCTTTGCCAATCAATCTTCGTTAATTGGTTGATGGTAGTCAACAGGAAAACCCTGAATCTAGGTTTCATACTATGTGGCACTCGTTAGCAAAGTGTACCTGTAATCTTGGAAGAACTGGTGCCTATTGATAGATTTGATCTTGTGTCACACAGTTTCACAGTCAAAGGTGTTACCACATGACATGAATTACCAACCAGTGATCAATCAATTGTGATTAATTTCAAAGTTGTATGTATCAATAATACCCTATAAAGTATATTCCATGTATAATATTTGTATTATAAATGATGCAAATGTTTTAATTTGTGAACTTTGGTATTATTAATCAATAAATAATGAAATATCCTCCTCACATATTCAGTGGAGCAATGGCTTATAGGTTTAAGAGTTTGACTTTCAACTGCTATGTCACAGATTCATGTTCCAATCTATCTGATTTGCATTCGGCCAACAGTCGGATAGTATCATTAGTTCTCTCATATGTACAATGTATGTTAAAGACAAATAAGCGAATCTGGACTTGGTATGTTGCACACAAGTCAACAGTTTACCATAAAACATCATGAACGAAAATACCTTGTTGACCGAGACCGAAGGCCCTGGGTTCGAATACCGCGAGCGGGATCGTGGATGCCCACTGCTGAGGAGTACCACAATAGGACGAAACAGCCGTCCAGTGCTTCCAGGTTTCCAAAGGCGGTCTAGCATCAATCGGTTCGTGGTTTCAATCAAAAAAATGTAAAAAAATAACTGAATTACGTTCTTTTAGTTCAGTGGTTACGTAGTGCCCGTAAAAGCTTTTGGTATTTTAAACTATTTTTTCTAAAAACAAGATGGTAAATCCGTAAATTTAGGAAAATGTCATAATTTTATAGTGGGATTCATGAGTCAATTGACGCTAGACCACCATGGAAAATTTGGAGGCACTGAGCAACCGTTTCATCCTAGTATGGGACTCTTCAGCAGTGAGCATTCATGATCCCGCCCCACGAGATTCGAACCCAGGACCTATCAGTCTCGCGCAAGAACGCTTAACCACTAGACCAATAAACCGGCATCCAACGGTGTTAATGTCTAACTTCAACCAATCCACGATACTGAGCGACATCCATCATTATCATCAGTAATGTTGACACATAGATATTGATACAAGAAGGCAACAAATACATATGCGCCACACAAATCTCATTTGATATGTGTGAGGGCTGTGATACTGCTTGGTTTCCCGAACCAAAGCAGGTGGTTTACTTAGAGGGCCACATCCGGAGTCTTCGACCTGAAGGTCTGATCCACAAAGCAGTGGAGCAACATAAGGAGATGCAGTCCCATGGAAGCCGGTAACCAACGATTGGTTCATACGCCATTTGTTCCTCCAGGATACTGGAGCCCATATGCACCATCATTTTGAAATCAGGATTTTCCAACTTACCTAGGTGGACTCTCCATGTTCACTGACCCGGTTAAAGCCCTTGAAATTCGCTTTTCGTCCTCTCAATTTCGTAAACAACACCCCCTCCACAACAAGGTAGTGAGTAGGACTTCCGTGGCAGAGGCTATATACACGTGGCCATATGAGAGCATCTCGAGAGGGAGAGCGGGCTCTCCCCACTCTCGACCGTACCAGAGCATTTGGGGGCTATCTTCAGTGAGTTACTATCTCACTACAAACACGGTTGAACTATACTGGTCACTGCTTTTTACTAGAATTCCAGGAAATACCTCTTGAAGCCAGTCACTAGTGAGCATACGATGATTATTATTGGAAGGGTTTTTGTATATATTATATTAATTTCATAGTATATCTGGAGCCAATGAATCTGTGAATGTGAAAAAGGGAATATCAATAGGTTCTCTGAAATGTTTCTCGTATTGAAACCGATTGTTTATCACTAATGCATCTCTTGAAAGTTACGCGAAGCAACAAACTACAATGCATACACACTGCTTTCTAATAGATGGTATCGTTTTATGCTGAGAATTGTCTATATGGTTCTCTATAATCTAACATTATATATATATATATACACGAAATGTATTCATTACAAACATACTTGTTCAGGACGAGCTCCAGTTGATGGAACTTTAACTACAACACCACCTGCACCCCCAATACCACTTAATCCTCCACTATATAAACCACCACTGCCTATTCGACCGGAAAGAACACTTGGCATGCCATAATTTGTTTCAACAGCTTCGAATTTTTCAACTTCTTCCTTGAAAAAAAATATTAGAGATGAAAGATTGTTATGTGTAATTTATCATTATAAAAGAACGTTCAACAAATTTCTTACAATAAATAAGTAAACCAGCCATAATGATCTTAAATGAATATGGAAAAGGCTGTTTAATGCTACATAATTATCATGATTAACTTCAATTTTTGATTTTAACGGTGAACCAATTAGGTATAAGATAACAGGTCTCAGATTATGTGGCGAAATTCACTTATCCATTTGGCATTATAGCTGATGTCAGTTCGTGATGAAAACTTTAAATTTAATGTCTAACCCTAACCATCAACTGTAAATCATAATTCGAATTCCTCACATTGGTTTATAACCGTCATTTGGTCCTAGTTATTAGATGGACATTCTCAAGGTTACTTTGACGTCGCTCAAAGGTCGTCTATAAATTATAGTCTCACCATGATTAGTTAGCTTTCAATATACTTTAAAACTTCATCAACTTATATCCAATTGAATTCTTTTGGGGTTAAATTAAGTTAGATCACATGCCATCTCCGATTTGTTTTGCATCGTTTTCTTGATTGTTTATTCAGATCAACGTTTTTAAAATTCATTCCTTTGTTTGACTTATTTAATTCCGTTATTCATCAACGCGAGTTAAATCGATGACTATATACGAGGGCAGCTAGGATGTATATTTTGATAACTAGATAACTATCAGCTAACGATCGAATTGCAGTTAGATAACGGGCCAACAAAAGTGGTGAGCTCGACGTGATAGCGCAGCGTGTCACGTCGGGTTCATCATTTCAATTGGCCCACTTGCCTCCTTTAGTGCGCATCATTTCGTTTCTATTCGCTTTCTTCGCTTTGTTTCTCTGACCGTCTTTTTGAACCAACGATTGTATTAAATATACATATTCGAAATCCATTCTCGTATTTGACTTATTTTTATTTCATTCTTCATTAACGTAAGTTAAGTCGATGATTATATGCAAGGATTGGCGGCATGTATGTTTCGATAGCAACTATCATACGATATAACCGGAGACAGATATCATGCCACTAAAAGACTCTCTGTAATTTTAGATATAATTAAGTGCATCAACAAACATTACAGTTGAATATTAAAGTATTTAAAGGTTTGTACGGACTCAAATGTATAAATGTATCATGTATTCGTTTTAATAAATAGACAGATGGTTATTTCATATCCGGTGTACTATACATGGATTGTTCAATAAAGTTGGTGAACTAAGCTACTGCAAATCTTGGTGAAATTAGCGAAGAACATTCAAAAAATTTATGGGATTTTGATGTTTATACATGAAAATAATGCACTCAACAAAACGACTCATTTCAAATGGATAGGGTGTTTTAGTAGAGACTACTAAGATTAGAATGGTGATGCAAGAGTAGGAAGATCTCTGACTTAGTAAGTTGATAAAAATATCAGATGTGTGTCATCTCTTGCACTTCTTGATGACGAACACATTGTCTAAGTGATTGTTGATAAACCAAATATGATAAACTCGTATATCTATACAATTCCGGGAAAAAATTAAAACTAGGCAGCAACTGGACTTGACTTCTAATGATTTAACAATAAAAACCATTATGAAACAAGCTTCGCGTTTGCGCGCGAGACTGAAGACCCTGGGTCTAAATTCCGCGAACGAGATCGTGGATGCGCACTGCTAAGGAGGCCCACAATAAGATGAAACGGCCGTCCAGTGCTTCCAGGTTTTCAACGGTGGTCTAACATCAATCAGTTCATGATCTCAATCAAAAACTTAATAATCTCCACAAACCTATACTGAAAATGGAGAGTTTGTAAGAGATAAGAGTGATATACCTTATGTTTTATAAAATATGATCTTTAATAAATACACATGAAAATCATTGTTACATTGATTCTAACTAGACAGTCACTTACTTGAGCTGCTCGATCTGTATAACTTATACAATACAAGAAACCAGATGAAATAAACGAACAAATAGCTGCTAATATAATAAAACCAAATGACCATGATAGAAAATATTGATCAGGTCTTGGCATCCATATTCTACTCTGTGAGCTAATACCAAATACTAAAATACATATTGTCAAAAGAATCCCTATAAATATCTGAATCATTTAAAAAGAAAGCATGGAAAAATATGATATTAACTTTTTGTAAAACAAAACAAGCAATCACTACAGTATATTTTAAAGTAAAGAAATTTCATTAGATTACGACATGAAAACAACTTTATACAATAATGCTGTTTCACATTACTAAGTCAGTCAGTAACAACGTAGAACTTCGTACGTGCGTACATCAGTTCGAGTTGACACACCACATTAGCACAGAGATGCAGTTGTCCATTCAAATCCCGTAGTGATAGAGGCGGTAAGAGTATAAGCAGTAATCGGAAAGATTAGGGCTTGAAGATGTTATTTAAAGAGTATAATCTAGTGAAATAAATTTGGAAAGAGAAAAAGAGACAAGGAGGATTCAGGAGATTGGAATTCGGGAGAACACAAAGAGTGGATGCACCTAAACAATAGGTAAACTTTCCTTTAATAATTTTGATAATTATCACAAGCAGGAAACTTTACATTGACATCATGAATCATGATACAATTTTATTTAAACCCTTAATAAAACGAAATCATATCTGGATTTTTCGTACACACAGAGGATAGGTTATTTTTAAGGGGATTGATATTGTTGCCCAGTGTTATAATACAAACTCGAAGCTATGGGTGAAGTTACTTCATTAACGTCAATTTACAAAAGATCAAAAAACTGGGTAGTAAGGATGAAAAATTGCTAGTCTGTTTCCAATTGATTCACTTTAGTATCGTAATCATTACGTATGTAATTGTAGTATAAACTACTACGAAACAAAAACATTAATAATTTAAAAGACCTTAGTCTACTGACACAAAGCAAAGAAGTTTTTATTCTTGTAAATTTTCTTGCAAAACTCAACCAACAATTTCAGAAGAAAGGACTATTCCTTTAGATACTGTCTGGTAATCCTCGACTGAGTGTCGGGTCTGAAAAGTTCTCAAAGGTTTATCACTTACGAGGCTATAAATGTTATATGAACCCGAATATGAAACCTACTGTCCGGTACAGAACCTAGAATGAATTTTAGTCTTCGGTATTTAATGATCATTGAATACAAATCCATGGTATCTTTAGACGTGTCAACTATTCCTATACTAGGAACAGTGAGATTTTTGTTAGGCGAATTCGCTGAAAAAAAAGGCAGAGACTAAAATGTATGTTTTCACACTGAAATAGTTAATCCACAAGTCACCAATGAACGTAAATTTTCTGTTTATTAACCATCTTTAAGTAAAATAGGATATGGTTTACACGGAGTTACCAATTATCTCCATCCTTACATACATTTTTTTCTGAAAAAAACTAAAAAATGGTAAATTAAAAAATGAACCCGACTAGCTAGAATTTTATTTCAGCTACATAAACGACACCTTCATAGTACTTATGAATTCCACGGAGACAACTATTCTACTTGATTCAACAGCTTTTATCAATCTATGACTACTTTAACGGGAGAACGTAGTGATAGTTCTTCATTTTTAGATGTTTTGTTGGCAAAAATGAATAAATTGATGTCAAAAAGGCGTAATGGTAGTAAATCGACATTGATTGGTTATTACACTCATATGTAAAGCTCTACATCTCTCAGGTACACGAGGAACCTGGTGAACAGCTTAACACATCATGCCATACTTATTTCCACCGGTGATAATTCTGAAACAAATTTAAATACTCAGACTTAAAACATGTCCATAAAAATTTATTGACAAGCATATGACCAGCTTAGGATAAAGTTAGAGACAATGACAGCTCCTAAGAAGCCCATATATTTGAAATCGTGGCTCTTCAACGACAGTCAGCGGATAATTAACAAAACAGGTAAGAATGGCTCTGCAAAATAAAAGCGCCATAGCTGAGTCATATGCCTTGTTATGAAACTACCCGTTCATTAGAACCGGACATAATAACGAACCCCTGAAACTAGCTTTATATATGTGCATCAGTGGACTTAACTGCTATAAGGAGCCAGGTACAATGAGCAAAATTTGGACAAATCTGTAACCACATTTTCAAACACCATCCTGTTTGGTTGAGTAATAGACAGTTGACGTTGATAAAAAACTTTATACTAGCTAATCTAATTGATACGAGACACCGTGAGGACGTAAACAATAGATTCTTTATCATCCACCAGATCCTATCAAATAAATCGTACAGTTTACGTATGATCCATCTAAATACAAAAAAAGCCATGAACATTTATCTTAATGAACTTGACCTTCGTATCTCTGAATGGTTCATACAACCGCTGTCTTGGCTTAGGTCATCGGAATAGCCGGCAATAAAATGAGTCGCTAATGTCTCATTACACTCAATGTTAAACCGTTTCCTTCTAATCGAAATGTTTGTTATTTTCTACCAGTAACATTTTTTCTTTATGCTTATGTAACTGTGAATAATGTTCGACTTACTGCCAAATGTTTGTCAATCTTCTCATACCGTACTATATAATCTATAACCACATACTCCAATTCATTCATTCACCAATCAATAACTCCGAAATGATAGATCATAGGCATTATCAAGACTACAGAATCTTAAGAACTCGGTTTAAATGATGATTTAACCGTTCGTTTGTCGATTATGCTTTCTTCTACAACAGGTTACGTTTAGAGAAAGAAAGGTTACAACGACATAATGTAATAAATTAAGTAACCGCACTTGCTTTAGTTCCATACAAAACCAAGAGTCAGTAGTTTCTAGAATAAACATTTCGAAACAGAAATATTCGCAGGAATACATATAAAACATCTGTTAAACTATCCTGAAGACAGAAAAGTGGCACTTGCATTAATATGTTTTGTTATAAGAAGGACAACAACTTAGTAACCGGGTAAAATAACTTTGAACCCAGTATATCATTCTTTTCTAACGAACACTCAAGTATGTCGTCGTACATTGGTAACTTAGTTTACATGCATCTTAATAAACGTGTGACGATCCAAGATTTTACTCAGTCTTCATAATAGTGTTCTCAATAATATAAAATCCTATTTCAACTTATAATTAATTGATAACATTAAGTTGAGAGCTACGCCTACAGCCTCAAAAATTTCATTCTTGTTTATGTAAAAATAGTAAGCTCCTTTCATATATTTTTTGTCAACAAACCTCTTCACAGAAGCTTATCGCTGAATTTATACGGTAACTAAATTGACTGTGCTAACAACATGATCCTTCTACAGAGTAGTTCCAAGTTGTAATGGCACAAATGACTTCAAAAATCCTAACCCACTGGTTCCATCAAAGGTAAAAGATACGCAAAAACGGCAATTACAAGATCCTATTACGTTAGCCCTGCTTTTCATTTTTGAGATGAGTGATGGGTTACCTACCAAAAAATTAACTCAAATTACCGCATAACTACGCAAGTTCAGGCTCATTATGGCAGAATATTAACCCCTTACCAAGATAAGGTATTAACTGATATAAAAAAATTTAATTATGCGAATAAAGTAACGGTGATTACTGATCGCTAATTTAAATGATTTTACTCACCTCACCAACAAGAGCCATAGTTGATTCAGCAGCTGGATGACCAAACAACAAGTGATACAAGACCAGGATTAAAATGACGCAACATTTTGCCGTAAATGCTATAGTTATTAAAACTTGAACACCAATCAACCAGTATGGATTTAGCCACTGCCATATGCCAATCTTGAAGAAAAAACGGTCATATACCCAAAAGCACCCAGTCAACACATTGGCGTGGTAATCCTAAACTCTGATAAATCGAACTTATTATTAAGAATAGTACTTGTGGATGCACAAATTTGTCAAAACATACAGACCATATCCCCATGTGGAGAAAAGAACTATGTACACGATCATACGACTGCAACCAATAAGGACTGGAAAGCGACAAGAAAAAGAACAGGAACCCTAAAGCAGCTGATATGCAAGCTGCATAGAAAGGCATATACATTTGAGTCAACTTATAATCCTTCCTCATTTCCTCCGCAAAATTTATAATTCCGGACAACCCAGAAGGTAAACAATCATAGGCAATTAAAACAATGTTTAGAATACAATTCACAGTCTCTATTATTTCGATAACAGAGAATTTTACTACCTGTATTTAACAGCCTTCTGAAAAACTAGCGACAGTTAATTGATTTCTTTTCACTCGCTTATTGACGTTAAGTAGAGATTACACAATTTTTGCATATTACCAATGAGGTTAGTCGGACCGCCTGACTACAAATGTCTTGTTAATCGGATGAAGATTATGGATATGTATACCATTTTTTAACAAAGAAATATCTGGTTGGCCTAGCTCAGCAAGCTCAAATTCATTCGAAATGTTCGAGATTTGTTAAGTAATGAGATGAACAGAAACGATAGTATAACTTTTTGCTTGATCTTAGGTTTCTTCTCAGTAACCTGAAAAAGCATGATTTAAAGCTGCAAATTTTTTGACAGCTTATCGCTCCAGAAGAAGGGACAATCCCCGACGTCTGTTTTTCTTCATGACTTATGCCACTATACTTTGATTGTTATATAGTGAACTGACTAACTTTGTTCTGTGGTTGATTTTAAAGTTCATTCCCTATTTGTTCTAAAAGCTTTCGTTATTCACGTTGATTCTTCGACTTTGGAGGAAGTTGAATTTGTCTGTCACTTTCCTTTGGGTAGGATTGTAGCGGGTTGGTTTTGAGGTAATTCCTTATGTCAATCAATCTGAAAAATGTTACCAAAAATATCTCAGTGGTGTATAAATGTAGAGGACAGACGAAGCACCGACTACAGTTTATCATCGTACAGCGCGGATAAAAATATACAAGCACATCTGTATTTGAGCAGAAAAGCTGATACGCTGAAGCAAGCGAATACTGAGGCGAACTTAGGGTTAAATCAGTTGAGAAGATTTAGGAGGTGAATGATTCATCGAGTGATTTCCGAGCAACAAACATCTAAGCTAGAGAGGAAAATTTATGAGTGGTTTGTCACATGTGATCAAGCATACATATTCATACAGACCTGGTGGTAATAATTGTAGGGCCAGTGAAGTGTCGCTGGGTCCTAGCTAAATCATCTGGCCGTCGGGTCACTGAACTTCGAACAGTTTGTTAATCCTCATCAAGTTCAAGCACAATCAAAGCGGATCAGTTCGTTGAACGTTATAGACTATTCAATGAGGAGATGGTCTGTCACTTTCTTGTTCCTACTTTTACGAATATAACACTGCAATAATGTCGCTTGTGTTCTACAGTCACCAACGCAACCATAATACCTGGATACGATGAAAGGTTAATCCACGTCATGTACTAAACGGCGGGTGTCATTTCGACGTTAGTTATCCCTCACTCATTTGAAAGGTCATCTACGTTAGTGATCTACATAATAACTGCAAAAAGACAGGCAGGTTGTTAATGTTAATTGAAAGGCTATGACGAAACTAATCGCAACCAACCTAATTATAGGAGGAGTGTTCTCGACTGACAGAACTAACATTCCATCAGTGGTAATTTAGTCTTATCAACTGCATGTCACTGTTGAAATAGTGCTGTATAATACCACTTTGAACGTCTGTGACCTTTTTTAATGGAGTTCACAGCTTTTATCGCCATTTAAAAATTGTAATCATGAGTATAGCAACTGTTTAGATATGCTGAAACAGTCAAGTTGTGGATTTAGAATTGATTGTGATATTTTCTCAAGTTCATTCATTACTCGGGCTGTTTCGTTTTAACGGAGCAAAGCTTGAGATTTTATATGATAAATGCATAAACATCAACCCCATTTACTGACAAATTGCTTGTACTCAACACATCTGACATAAAGCAATCAATGTAAACAAAGATAGAATGCTGTGTTCATGATGAGCAAACGGTTACAAAGTAGAATCTGCTTTAATTGCCAGAGAATAAAGATAGTGACTTTCCCTACAGTAAACAAGATGGTCATTAAATATGTTATTCCAACCATTATCTGGATTATCGTGGATTAGTGCCAAATATTAGTGTACCCAGATGAGTTATTCAGGTTAAACAACGCACGTAAATCATATGTAATACACTTCTCTATCAAACCAAAATATACTAATTCGTAAGCTTTCACCTAACTACAAGATTGGTAAGAACACTTTAAACTGATACTCTGTCCAAGCTGCCTTAAAATTTTCGTGAGATAAGATTAAAATTGTCACCCTAAAATAGTAGGGTTTGTAGAGAATTGTCATCAATAAAGTTGAACTAACTCAATGCCTCAGAAGACTGATTACTGAGTATCGAATAGTCTGCCTCACATGGAAAAGGTCGCAAATCACTAACGCGGACGGATCATTCAGTGGGATGTCTGCTACAGTTGCGGTAGTGTAACTATCCAGTAAACCGCTTCAGTGGTAAGATTCTGTCATTTCTTCGAGTGAATTAAAGAACCATCTTAGCCCAACTACTACACTAGGCTCGGTGACGCAGCTGATGCACTCACGACCAATGTGTGAGAATAGGAAACAACCCAACTGACCTTACGTCTGACCACCGAGACATAACTGAGCCAACAAAAGTTAAGGATGACAATCATAAGCCTTAACCGCTTACTAACGACAGTAGCAACAATTTCATGAAAATAATGACAATAATGACTGGTATACTAAATTCTACTTGATATTCTTTCCAAAGATTCACATCAAGCAATAAATCCGTAAATATTTATCACAGTGATCGAGATGACTATATTTGACTTGAGAATATGAACAAACAAAAGCAGAGATGGAATGAAAATTGATATTAAGATACTTAACAAAAGGACAAATAGAGAAGAAGTATATTTGTTTCCAATCAAATTTTCATCATGCCTTTAAACAAATATGCAAGTTACTTATAATAGTATACTGATACTGACTGATTCATACTGCCACATTATAACGTCACAAAAGACTGGGAATAAATGTGAATAATCTGATACGTTATTAGAAGAGTATGTGGTGACTGCGATGGGAAGTCGCCATGTCTTCCACTACCTTTTATCATTATTTTCAACCTTTTAGTAGTTTTCTGCAAGTTTTTTTCAACGACATCGAAAGAGGATAGCTATTGGTAATTCACAAGCACCTATATATATGTATGTATATACATATACATTCTCTGATACTCACCACTAAGCTTTCAAAAATTTCATAATTTCAGAGACATCATTTGTACTAGATGATATCTAGATTTGAAATAATGTACCTGTACGAATAACGTTCTTGTCGTATAGCGCAAAGTACAACATAACAGTTTAAGAATCTTCCTGTACGTCAACAATTTTGATGGTCATCGTCAACACTCAGTTTCTTCTTTTTACAAAACAGTGGTATAATTTATTTAAGTTGAATCGGATTCAGACCGCGTGGTTACCATTCAGTCTTGCCTATTATTTCATGATGAGCAAATGAATCGACTCCTTTAGTGACTGGAACAAAAATGATCTTACGCAAGAAATGTATATTTGGAAAAGACCGTAGAGGTTTTCTGTCAAGGCCATTTGCATTGTGTCATTCAATGATGCGCCAATATTATCTCGTGTGAGTTATCCTTGACATTGACTCAACACTCAGAGATATCTCGTCTAATCTGGTAACATTTCCGCTTGACAGGTGATCTTGTAAGGTCTCAATGACATTTTACAGACCCTAAATTCCAAGCGAAATCGATCGTTGAGTGAGGTAGTTCAGATGCCAGTTTTGTCATCTCTGCTGTACTTTTTATACATCCAATCATATTCAGTAGAAAAATGCTTGACACCACTAGTTTGTCCATATTTTTTGGTTGAAATCTAATAATTTACTAGTTTTAGGAGATCTTCATTATGAAAAAAATTTCTTGTCCTGTATTTTTGGGGATGAACGGAGAATCGGTAGAACGTGTTTAAACCGATCAACAAAGATAGCGAGGTGATTGTTGCCTATAAGTGCTTGGTTTGAGCAGCTTTCATGTCACCGTCATACGCATCAGGTACGGGCATTCACACTGTCAAATGTGAGCGTCGACTTTTATTTTGATTGTGCCAGTTTACTACAAGTTGTACAAGATAATTTTTTATCGAAGTGAAGGCACTTTAACAAACATGATTTTACACATTACCTTAATTTTCAGCATTTAGATCGAACAAGTTTATATTTTATTGTGAGAAGACTTTTAAAATGAGCTTTGAAACAGCAGTTACAGTTTCTGTTTGATGAATGTTATATCGTATTGCACAGAATGTGTGTTGATTTGAGTAATAATGAACTTTCCCCTCGTATTTTACGTCATTCTTTGACAAAGCAACTCACCTAAACATAGGGTTTGGGTAAATTACAAATGTTGATTCATATTTAGACATGTGAATGTTTGTATTGCTTTTTATGCTGGATGATTAATTCGTTCAAAATCAACATATGAACGTCATAGCTATTAATAGTACACAACATGAAAAAGTTATCTGAGTATATCTCAGACACTCGACTAACAAGCATGATTAAACTGTCTGGATGTGTCGTCATAATAAATAAGCGTTTCGCGTAACCTCTATACGTTTAGAATGAAATAAGTCTATGAAGTACTATAATTCAGTAAAATCTGTATTATTCGTCTAATTGTCAAGTGGTTATTTTGATTAATACCAGAGGTTTCGTCTACCAAAGGCTTAAAAATGTTAAATCGGTTAACTGAGTGTCATTTGTCAGCTAATGCTCACATATTTATATGAAAACTAGAATCCTTAATCGTATGGCTTAATAAGCTTCAAAATTTTGTATAGGTCATACACTTATATTTCGTTGTTGAATACTTAATAGATGATAACACAACAGATAACATCAACACTTATTAAAACCATATTTGGTTATCCCCTAATAGGACACCTTAGGTAAACTTGGCATATGTACTTGATAAGCAGTTGCTTATTCATAAACGTAATCTAGTTCCTGTTCAGATTTTTCTGTATTCCATAGCAAACGTTTTCTATGAGGATTAACAATGACTCAAAACTTTTGAAGAGAAGTATTAAAGGCATGTTTATTATACGCTATCCCTACTTCTGATTTCCTTAGAAATTCGAAATTAAAAACACATCAGTAACCTGTCTCGAAGTTAAAAATGTTTACAATTTGTATACTGATTATATTCAAAGCCTTTAAGGTCATGCACTATAATAGATACCAAGTAAGTGTTATATTTCATGTGCATCAAATGAACTGTAAAAGCGGTCACCACACATTTCTAAGTGTTATTTCATATTTTTGACTTTGTTTAATTTGATTATAACAGTGTTTGATAAATGCAAAAGAAAGAGGCCGATGGCTTCACGGTCATCCTATACAAGAGACGATGGTTTTCGCTGCTGATATTTTGTCTGTGTTCATTTGGAAATGCTTATCAGTGGATTCATTTGAATATAATATCTGATATAGTTTTGTTTTTTTGGGATGCTTCCATTCCAGGTGAGCCATTGTTTAAACAAATTTATTTTCGTGTTTAACACCTATTGTATTTATTTAACTTCTACTCATGATGAACCATTTTATAACAAAAAAACGTATGTAGATAAAATGGTTCACTTTATACAATATAACAAATGATTAAATTCTAGTAAAATGATTACAGTTTAATGTTTTTGATTTCTTAACTTGTGTCTGTAATCCAAAATCTGGTAGACTCTCACCAATTATCTGGTTTTAATAGTGAACCTCATAGAAGTTGGTTCCCTCGTTTGTGTGTCTATCTCAATATTTTCCAGTCTTTTGTTGCATGCATAATGTATTAGTTGCTATTAAAATTATTTCACAACAAAGAGAAACAGGATTTTGGTTAAGTTATGTCTAACATTTTCTACAACGCTTCTATAGACCAAATAGGGATATTAGGGTCAGTGAAGGTTCTTTGCTTTGATTGGAAGATATTTTGATGTATTTTACAGTCAATCTGACTGTAGTGTTTTTAATCAAGCCGATCGTAAAAATGTTCTGTTTTTTTAAATATCTCTAGAGTTTAAAGCCATTTTTGCTTTCTGCTTCACTCTTTCATGCTGGTTGAAGTATTTTGATATCTAATAATATGGGAAACCTAAACTATATCTTGGTATCCCGAACGCTTTTGATCTGAAAATAAATAATTATTATTTTGATGCTGTTATCTCAATCCTCTCTATTAAATAATTTAAAAGACAATCAACAGATTTGTATCCACCTACAGCGTATCACTATCTTAATACATTTTTTTAAAACATTAAGTACTTGTTGAAGGTGAAAAAGCATGAAAATACTCACATGGTTATCATGTATTCAAAATATTTAAGTGTTTTGTTAGAAATCGTTTGTTCAAGTAATGATTTAGCAAAAACGAAGGAGGATTTGTCAGCTTACTCAAGATTATTGCTCATTACAAGAGTTAATATAACGCTAAATAGGTAATGCTTAATTCGACAAGAGAATGGGCATCGGACAAAATTACAAATATAGAGACGTATGCGCAATCACACATGTATAAGTGTAGAATTAGGAAGATGTGAATATATGTGATAATCATGCATAAGTTCATAACTTTCGATAGAAAGAATAGTTATTAGGAATGTTAAAAGTGACTCATGAGCCACCTACTGTTTTAGTTATTAAAGTAAGTTCAAAAGCTAAGATAATGTGTGTGCACACTACGGTGTAATGACGTAAATCAAAAAACACCTATCAATCCGTTGGTGTAATAAGTTTATTAGAAAAAATCGCTGGTTTACCGTACTTTGTTAACGATTCTTACGTATTTTACAGGTTGCGATGTCTGTATGATAATGTATTGATCTATATTTGAGATTTCGTCTACTACTATCATCATAATTTGAGTATTGCATCATTTCTGAATCTTAAACTGATTTATGTTGATCTTAAAGGTTTAAAATAATAATTAATTTTTGTTAAGATCAAATTTGTTTGCTAATATACTTATATTTCTGATGGTAAGTAGATAGGATCCAAATGAACTAGTTTAGCATATAGACTGTATAATATACTTCACTCCAGAATGATGGTTTATAGTAAAAGCTTATCTAAAATGTTATTTGTTAGTTATAATTAAAGTGATGAATCTTGTTATGCTTCAGAAGCATTCCATAAAGCTGTGTGTAGGACCCATAATTTCTATTCCATAGAAATACCTTTCTACTTGTTGAATAAATTAATTATTAATTAGACTAAGTGACATAATGGGTAGATCTTTGTCCTGTAAAATGACAAGTACTTAACCCAGTCAGTCAGTCAATTAGTGAGACAACTGTTCAGACGTGTTAAGGAAACCGGTATTAGGAACTCGACTGTTGGCGAAACTGTTTCGGAAAAAGATGGATATATTATACATTCTCAATTCAGGAGATTGAATCGATGGGTAGAACACTTTACGGATCAGTTCAACTGGCCTTCAGTCACACTTCGGTTTCCCACGATCTCCAGTCGACCTGAATTACTTAACTAGTATCTTAGTATTGATATTTGTATTGAGATGAATAAATCTACAACTGATGAACTTCAAACAAGACTAAGACCGCTCATCCTGAAACAATTTAAAGAATTTTTATAACAGTTACAATAGTAGTAGCTTGTAAATTAACCAACAAAGTAGACTAAACTAAAATAATGAGATTAACTTAATTTTCAATTATATTACTGTTAAACTTGATCTTACAAAATTAAAATGTGATGCGGTATATACCACATTTAAATGTATGATCATATTTTAAAACATTTATAGTTATTAAATCTACCTAAGCTTTATTTATATTACAAAGTTTAAACTAAATGGAATTCATTTCGAGGTATTAAAACTTAACCTATTTCATGACAATTAAGTAGATAGAATAAATATGAATTATTTATTATATAGATTTATTTATTTTAACACATAAATATTGGTACATAGGGATACCGAATACATATGTGCCACACAAGTCTTTTGATTTATGTGTGGTTAATGATACTGCTAGGGTGCCCAGACCGAAACAAGTGGTTTCCTAAGGAGGCCATGCTTGGAGCCTGATCCACAAAACAGTGGAGCAACGTCAAGAGATGTAGTCCCATGATAGCCGGTGACTAGTAATAGGTTCATACACCATTTGTCTCTTCAGGATACTGGAGCCCATGCAAACTACTGGTTTAGAATCAGGGTTTTCCAACTCTCCTAGGTAGACCGATAATAATGTATTCTTATTTTAACTGAAGCACATTTTACAGCATAAATTCATTTAATTGTATTTATTTGTCTAGTGTTCTAATGGTTCACTCTCAGTTCACATATAGTTTTTATTATTTCATGAATTCATTTACAACTTTGTGATGTTCTATGTTGTTTTGTTTTATTACTTATTACATTTACTCATCTTTGAAAACTTTATTATTAGCCAAATATCTTACTTTGAGCTGCATTCAAAATGATCTAGCATCTGATGATAAACAACTTCAACTCATTGCTCGTATTTACTGAGGGCACTGAGTGGGCAGTACTGAGATTAAACGTTGGGTATCATATAAAAATGTCAAATCTGTCAATGAGATAGGAAGTATTTATCTAATGAGGTGTCAAGGACAAGTGTTAGGTATGCCTAATCACTGCCTACCTCAACGGGCGATGCTTATTGACGTGATATTAGGTTAGATAAAAGCTAGGAGTGCTTAAAAAACACGAGATACTAGTCTATGAGTACACTGACTGTCAGTCTGAGCGATGCTGATAGATCCAAATTCTGTTTTTCGTGATAACTGCGACTAGCAGTTGGAGAATCTGGGTGATATAGCTTAGAATTGTTCGAAATAGTGCAGTTGCATTCACTCTTCGTCCTCGTTTTGGTCTAGAATTTCAGCATTTCTTCATACATGTCTTTCCATATTATTTTGTTTCTAACCATATTCCTAATAGTCAATGTTTATCTTTTCTGATCTTCACTGCTATTACATGATAGCGATCTCTTTAACGATTCTTCATGGTATTTTTATCTTACAATGCCCATGTGGTATGGGTACTTTGACCAGCGCACAGTTATGCCAGGCACTATGTTGTTTGGACTTACTAACTGACTGTCACTTCATTAGACCTGATTTTAGACCTCATAGATGTCCATGATTTTTTTAATTAGTTGATAAATTAGGTCGATTTCGAAATGTTTATTGGTTGCTGATTGACGTGAAAAACTTTTAAAAGTTCTGGTATTCATAGTGTTTCTCTATTCAGGGATTTAACAATGAAAGCCTAATCATTAAACAACCGGAATCAGAGAACAAAACCCCACTAAAACCATACAACGTAAATACAAATCTTACCATCTTAAAAGCACATTATATATCGACTAAATACAAGTAATGTGAGGAAAAGAAACATTTTGTACAATTCCTCATAAGTTAAATTAGTGTAGCACAAACTAGTAAACAAGTAAAAGGACGGACAGGTATAAAGTTATTGAATCTGACACAAATACGTATTGATCCAAATTGTTGAATTTTATAACATCACAATAAAAGAAAAAAAATCATTGGATCGAACATTAACGTTCATTTTGTTTAAATGTCAATGATTCGACTAAGAAAGGTGCTACAAACAGTAAGGTCACATGAATAGCTTATTAACACTGACCTAATTCAGTGTTGATACTCTACAAAATCAAGGTTATTTTGATAGAATGACATTCTGTAAATAAATGTACAGTGGGTATGTGTTTTGGAAAGTGCTGACGATAACTCTTCAGCTCAGTAGTCTGGAGGTTAAGCATTCTCACGCATGACCGATGGGTCCTGGGTTGAAATCTCGCGAGGCGAGATCGTGGATGCGCACTGCTGAGAGGTCTCACAACAGAACGAAACGGCCGTCCAGTTCTTCTGTTTGGTCCTAATATTAAACTAATCAACATTACCCATTAAATACCCTGAAAGAGATCCAACCCAAGATTTCTAGATCTATCTGTTGAGCACTTAATCTTTGAATCACTGAGAAGGGAACCTATGGTTTATATCTCTAACTTCAATCATCTCACGATATTTCGCAACTAGCCTCTGTTGCCTGTAAGAGGTAATCATCTCAAAATTCGTCACAGCTTCTCAGCAGAAATAGTTTATCATTTATTTACCTATCAAATTCATTTATGTATATAGATTTCTAAATTAAATAATGATAATATTAATACTAACAATAATAGTTTTCAATAAAGGTTTATATTCAAATCAGGAAACATTAAACTCTTAATTTGGATTATAATTCTTACAACATATTCCCTTAATGGATAACTCGAATCATTTGTTCTAATGCATAAACTTGTTCAACTTATTTGTTTGTTTGTTTCAATTCAGTCCTATTTTATTTCCGTTTAGAAGTCATGCTAATTTATTCATACAACAAGTACACATTCATACATATAAAGAGAACCTAAGAAGCTAGCAAACATATATATACGTGTGTATATGTTTGTGTTTCA